GAGGGGGTGACGTCACCGGGGAGGGGAGGGGATGATGTCATAAATGGTGATGTCACGGGGCGAGGGGGGTGACGTCACAGGGGGAGGGGAGGGGATGACGTCATAAATGGTGACGTCACAGGGTGAGGGGATGACATCACAGGGAAGGGATGACGTCACAGGATGAGGGGATGGTGGCACAGGGGGATGACGTCACACGATGAAGGGGATGACGTCGAGAGAGGAGAATCATAGAGTGTGCGAGGATAACGTCGCGGGAAATTTGCGCGGGAAGAGGAGAGAATTACGGGGCACGCGTGGTATATCCTCATCGCGGCGCGTTATCGGATAACGCGGGGTCAGTATCCGCCGGGTGCAGCCGCCATCGCCGCCGCCGCCGCCGCGGTCCCCATCGCGCGCTATACTTACCATGTATACTTACCATCTCTCTCTCACTCTTAGGCATCTTTTTCCAACGCAGCTTTATCTTCTTCTCAAACGCAGCTTCTCGCACGCAAAGATATATATATGCACACATACAGGGTGTCCGAACCTTTTTTGCCAATCACTTTTGTGTAGATAGAGCGAACTAAACTGAGTCGAAAAGTCCTTTACCATTTTGCAATTTTCGCAATAGTTAAAATAATAGTTTAATAATAATAGTTTAACAGGACTCAATAATGGTTTAATAACAATAGTTTAATAGGACTCAATAATAGTTTAATAATAATAGTTCAATAGGACTCAATATTAAAATTTCAGCTTATCAGATGAAAATTATATAACCAGATACCGGAATACATGATTTCTGATAAGTTGAAAAAAAAATTTTAATATTTATATCTATTCCTATTGTAGTACCTGGCGCTAGTTATTTTAGTATTTTTAGTTTTATGAGAAAAACAGTTGTCATTATGGAGCCACTCTCTTTGTGTGTGACTCTGCGATTACAATATAATTTGATTATTAATATTAATAAATACTTCATAATCCTCGCTGATCACTATTTATTATAAATTCCCTCGGAACATCACATATTGGCGACGAGGTATAAAGGTTTAAAGGTTACATACCTATTTTAATTGAATAACTGCCAAGGCGGTAGGTTAAGAGGTTAGAGATGCCGAACGATTTCGATAAAGAATTGCAGCAGCAGTTGCAGAGAGCTCAGGAACAAATGATTGAGCAACAGCAAGTACTCGATCGTAGAAGGAAGGAACAAGAACAATTTAAAGCTCAATTGCAGCAAGATCAGTTGCAGTTGATGGAGTAGCAAAAGCAATTGCAACAAAAAAAAAAGTGAGATTCAACTGGTGCAACAAAATCAATCGATGCAAGTAAATGAATGCAGAGAACAAGTAATGCCAAGCGTTACATTTTATTCGACTATTGGTGCGTTATCAGAGTTTCGCATGGGTGAAGATTGGAATCTTTATCAGGAACGTCTTGGACAGTACTTTGTTGCAAATCAAGTATCGCAACAGCGTAAAGTAGCGGTATTAATAACTCTGGTAGGACAAGAAGCATATAAAATTTTAAGGGACTTTTGTGATCCTGCATTACCAGAATCCAAGTCTTATGAGGAACTTTGTGAAATTTTAAAGAAGCAATTTGCGCCAAGAGTGTCGCTTTTCAAGGAAAGAATCAAATTCCATAATTTGAATCAAGCAGAAAAAGAATCAGTTAATGAATGGTTCGCTCGAATCAAGAATAAAGCAATCAATTGTAAATTTGGTGCACAATTGGACGACAACATTAAAGATAGGTTCGTGGTTGGATTAAAAAAAGGGAAAATTTTAGACAGAGTTTGCGAAGAAGACCACACGGCAACGCTTCAGTCTATTTTGGAAGTGGCCAGAAAGAAAGAAGCTGCAGTGGCAACGTCATCAAAGGCTGATACGGTCGACGTTCACAACATAAGACAAGGAAAAACCAAGGCGGCTCATCAGAAAAAATCTGGACAGGAGAAGAAGAAATCAGCAGGGCAGCATCAGGAGTCCTCAGAGGAACTGAAATGTGTGCATTGCGGCGGCACTAGACATATTTTCGCAAAGTGCAAGTACCAAGCGTATAAGTGTAAAATCTGTAGTAAAGTAGGGCATTTGGCGAAAATCTGTAAAAGCGTTAAGAATACAGTATCTAATACGAATTATTTAGAATCAGAAGCAAAAAATAGCGAGACGGAAATAGTGGACATGTATAATTTATGCAATGTAGTTAACAGTGAGAAACCTTTAATGATTAAAGTTAATATCGAAGATCAGTTTATTAATATGGAATTAGATACAGGCGCGGGTAGATCAGTTATACCAGAAAAAATTTTCAAAGAGAAATTGAGGCAGTGTAAATTAGAAAGCTCTAAGGTTAGATTAAGAATGTATGATGGAAGTATTTTAATTCCGGAAGGACAAATTTGTGTTAAAATTAAGTACAAGGAAAAGATCGTTAACGCCTGTTTAATAGTGGTAAGAAAAGGAAGTAGAGTATTAATGGGCAGAGATCTAATGAAACTCTTAAAAATTGAGATAGCATCTTTGTATTCGTTAGAAGAGAATATTAGTCTGGAGGGATTATTACAAGAGTATAAAGATTTATTTAAAGATGAACTGGGTAAATATAAGTTTGAAAAAGTTAATCTTAAGTTAGCGCGAGAGGCCAATCCGATTTTTGTCAAACCAAGGCCAATACCTTTAGCATTTAAAGAGAAAGTAAGCGAACAGCTGAAAGAATTAGAAAAAAAAGGAATAATAGAATTAACAGATAATTCAGAGTGGGGTACACCGTTAGTGCCAATTATTAAGAAAGATGGTAGTATTAGAATTTGTGCGGATTATAAAGTTACAGTTAATAAGTACATAGAAGATGTTAAGCATCCTTTGCCTAGAATTGAAGAGTTATTTGCGGCATTAAGTGGAGGAGAATTTTTTACAAAATTAGATCTTACAGCAGCATATAATCAGTTGGAAGTTTCGGAAGAAACAAGTAAACTACTGGCTTGGAGTACTCATAAGGGAATTTACTTGCTCAAAAGGTTACCCTTTGGAACCAAACCAGCATGTTCAATTTTTCAGAAAACTATGGAAAAAATTTTACAAGGTATTAAAAATGTAATTAATTTCATTGACGATATTGTAATTACGGGTGCAAACAAAGAAGAACATTTACAAAATTTAAAAGAAGTATTTAAACGCCTTTCGGAGGCAGGATTCAGAATTAATTTAAAGAAATCAGTATTTTTCCAACCCGAAATTAAATATTTAGGGCATGTTATTAATAAAGAAGGTTTACATAAGGATCCTGAAAAAGTAGCAGCCATGGTAGAAGTACCGACACCTAAAAATAAAGCAAAGATTAAAACTTTTATAGGCATGGTTAATTATTATGGTAAATTTATACCTAAGCTGTCGCAAGTACTTGCACCCTTGTATGAGCTTCAAAACAGTAAGATCTTTAAATGGACTAAAAATTGCGAAGAAGCATTTAAAAAGATTAAAAGCGAATTAATCTCAGATAGGAATCTAGTGCATTTTAATAAGGAATGGAAGCTTAAACTGGTCTGTGATGCGTCAGAGGTAGGCATAGGAGCAGTATTATTGCATATTATGCCGGACGGCACAGAAAAGCCAGTTGCCTTCGCGTCCAGAGTTTTACATGAAGCGGAAAAGAACTATTCTGTGATACATAAAGAAGCATTAGCTATTTATTGGGCAGCGAATAAATTTTATCAATATTTAGTAGGTAACGAATTTATTTTGTGTACAGATCATAAACCGCTATTAGCCTTGTTTGGAGAACATAAAGGTATTCCGCAGATGGCAGCAGGTAGGCTACAAAGATGGGCCTTGTTTTTAAGCGGTTTTCAATATAAATTCGAGCATATTAAAGGTAATGGAGGAGCTGATGGTCTATCGAGGTTGCCCAGACGGGGTAAAATTAAAGAAATCGAAGATGAAGATTATTTTCATTTTGTAACAGCGGAACGTATGCCCATTGACGCAGCACAGATTAGAAAAGAAGTAAGAAAAGATAAAGTATTAAGTAAAGTATTTTTGTATACGAGAAATGGATGGCCGAAAGTGGTTAGCGAAGATGTAAAAGAGTTTTCAAATAAGGCAAATAAAATTAGTATCGAAAGTGAGCTTCTTATGTGGGGATATAGAATTATTGTGCCATTTAAGTTTAGAAAAGCTCTGCTAGAAGAAATACACGGAGCTCATTTAGGAATTGCGAAGATGAAAGCGGTAGCTAGGCAGTACGTGTGGTGGCCTAAGATTGATAAAGAAATAGAGGGTTATGTTAAGCAGTGCGAAGCATGTAGAGCTATGGCCAGCAATCCTAGTAAATCACCGTTAGTTAAGTTCCCAGAAGCAAAATTTCCGTTCGATAGAGTGCATATCGATTTCGCAGGACCTTTTAAAGGTAAAACGTATTTGATTGTAATTGATGCGTTTACTAAGTGGCCAGAAGTATTTTGAATGTCTAGCATGAGTGCGGAGGGGACTATAGAAAGGCTAAGAGAATGTTTTGCTCGTTTTGGTCTTCCGCGAATTATATTTTCGGATAATGGTAGACAGTTTGTGTCGGAGGAATTTGCTCATTTTTGTAAGAACAATGGAATTAATCATAGAACGTCAGCTCCGTATCATCCAGCTACCAACGGTTTAGCGGAGAATGCAGTGGGCAATTTTAAAAGAGGATTATTAAAGGCGTTAGCAGATAAGCGAAATGCGTCAGTGAGTACAACCACATTAATTAATAGGTATTTAGCTTCATATAGGAATGCGCCACATGCGAGCGTAGGAGAAAGTCCTGCAAAATTAATGTTTGGTCGCGAAATGAGAACGAAGTTGAGTTTGTTAACCAGTGCGGAAAGGGAAAAGGCTAGAGAGAGGCAGGTACGATATTTTAAGGGAAACAGAGAAGTTGAGTTTGAGCCAGGCGAAATGGTTTATGTGAAAGAAGATTATAAGTGTCCAACAAAGCCAACATGGCGTAAAGCAATTATTAAGGATAAATTAGGTGTTAGAACTTATTTATGTAAAGCGTTAGATGCAGAAGGAGTAGTATGGAAGAGACATACAGATCAAATTGTAAAGGTTGGAAGGTTTTATAGCAAGGAAGAGGCCTATTTGATGCAACAGGAAGAAGGAAAGGATTTGAGGGAGTCAAAAAGGGGTAAAGAACCGGAAAGTGAGGGTAAACAAGTCATAATTCAGAAAGAGGACGAAGCGAAGATTAGTGTTGCCCATGTCAGACCTAAGAGAGAGATTAAACCGGTTGAGAAACTAAATTTATAATTTAAAATTAAGGCATTAATTATTTTAAGTATTTTCTAATTTTGTCGGGAGGATATGTAGTATCTGGCGCTAGTTATTTTAGTATTTTTAGTTTCATGAGAAAAACAGTTGTCATTATGGCGCCACTCTCCTTGTGTGTGACTCTCTGCGATTACAATATAATTTGATTATTAATATTAATAAATACTTCATAATCCTCGCTGATCACTATTTATTATAAATTCCCTCGGAACATCACACCTATAATAATACTTCCTCCATTGTACGTAGGGTCTAAGGGTGAAATCACACGGCGTGGAAAAGAAAATATGTCACAAAAGCAACCAATCAGCTTTATTCTGCGTTATTTTGAATAGCGCTAATTGATTGTTTCAATGGGCGCATTCAGCGGACTCAACAGTTGAGTGCGAGTGCCATGCTCGCTGTTATTGGTGTATTCTTTTAGTTCATCCAATCAGAATTTTAGATCTAGAAGAATACGAGGTCTGTCCGGAAAGTATCGGGCCTACCTTTATATCTCCGCTCTGGCGTTATTCTGGATCATCGGGCGGGTGGCATCCTTCGAAGTAATCCCCACTTG